GGCCTCACTAGTACTACTGCTACATGTATAAGACGAGTGGAAAAAACATAAAAATGAAAATAAAAATTGTTTGGTACGACCGCAATAGAAGCAACCGAATCTGAACATTAAAAAATATATATATATATATATATATTTATATATATAGCATTAGAATTGCCCTCGATAGGCATCAATAAGACTGTATATAGGTTGGGTTTGTGGGAGGTAAAATTTTTTTTTATTCCATTTTAAAAGATGCGGGTTGCACATATTTAGCCCTAATGATGTTAGAAAAATTTCATAACTCAATGATGTTTGAATTGGGTTGGGGCGGGACGGGGTGGGTTGGGTGGTCATGTTCATTATTTAAAAAATCAAAGTTCAATCCAACATTCAAAGTTCATCATCAAATAGAAATAATAACTTCAACATTCAAAGTTTATCATCAAATAATACTAATTATCAAATAGAAATAATACTGATAATCAAACATAACTCTAAAATTCAAGTTCATCATCAAATAGAAATAATATTGATTAGTATATCATCAAATAAATAGCAATTCAAAGTTCAATCAAACATCAAACATGAAGCAAAGTAGTCCATCCAATATCAAACATAAAGCAAACATAAATTAGAGGCTTAATTCAAATCTATCCAAAACAAGCACTGTAATAACAACCATCTTTATCAGTCAATACTCATAGGCTCCTTATTAGGCATGTTTGTGCAGGTTGAGTTGAGGAGTGCGGGTTATTATAAGCCCAACCCACAAACCGTCCCAAACACCTCAGGCCAGACATTTAGTGGGCCAAAAAATAAAAATAAAAAATGTTATAAGCTGCCTTTTTCGGGTTGAGTTGGAGTGGGGTGGGTTATGTTTGCGGGTTATTTGGGTTTATGTACACCCCTATGGCTAAGTAAGCTGCTGGATTATTCTAGCAAAAAAAGTTGCTTGTTTTTAGATTCAATTTTAAGGAATTGAGATTTGTTCTATCAAATGTTTGTGTGTGGATTGAGATTGACAATGTCAGACCTGTTTCTTAATGGATAACTTGTGTTGCTGCAAGCGTGTTGCAGAGTTAAATTATGGTTGTATCAAATTCGATAAGATGTTGAGAATGCATGCATGTGTTTTGCTCAAAGTCGATGTCTATGTGTAATAATAATATGAATACTAGAATTTGTCCCACATTGAATAGACAACTGCATCACCTGTCTTCTTGAGTCTATTAAAAAAACAAAAAATGAAAATACTGTAGCGATTTAGAATCATAATTGATGGATTCAGAATCATGATTCAGAATTATTCTCAATTTACGTGTATTTTTTTATGAGAAAAAATACTGACTACGAACTATTATTCGAATCATAATATGAATCTAATAACCCAACAATGAAAGTTTTGTTATTTTATTACTAAATCTATAGCTGTGGTTTTATATATTTTTTATTTATAAAATTTTGTTTTTTCTTTCCTTGTCATGTGATGAACATGGGGGTGTTGGGTGATCATCCATGTTCACTGGCCTTTTTTATGGGGTGTTGGGTGATCATCCATGTTCACTGGCCTTTTTTTTTTTTTTTTTTTTTTTTTGCGCGTTGGGTGATGATCAATGTTCATTGTGTTTTAGTGGTCAATGTTCATTGTGTTTTAGATAAGCGGGTGATTATTAATGTTATTTGTGTTGGGTAATTATCAATGCTATTTGTGTTTTATAAAGGTGCAATTGGTAAATTTGTGATCAATGTGCATTTTTTTTCATATTCAAGGCAAAATATTTTCTTCACTGTCTTTCAATTACGTATTGCTAAATAACAACGATCATTATACAGATGATCGAATTCTCTCGTGGGGACCTCATATTTGAGTCTAATCATGCATAAAATAGTACATGTGAATAACTACACTTTATAAGTGGTACTAAGACTCGTACATAATTTGTTTAGCTTATTTTCTTTTGGTTTGGTGAGACAGGGATAAATTAGAGGAGTAACACATTTTTAGAGAATTGGTATTCAAAAACAACATCTCAGTGAAAATTTAAGCATAATTTATTCATAAAAGTGATATGGCAAATAACGAACTTCTATTATGTCGAGAGAAAAATATGAATACGATAACTTATGAATTTAAAACATCAATTTACGAAGTTGAACATTAGAATTACAAAATGAAACAATAATGCTTATGAACCTTAAATGATGTATATAACTTTTAAACTTCATACCATTGTTTCCAAATTTTGAAATTTGAATTGAGGTTGTAAAATAGAGCGATAAACTCGCGAACTAGTATCCAATACTCATGACATCATAAAACAACCAAGGTGAATAACTATACTTTAAAAGGTGGTCCATGGCCTAATTTACATAACGGTGATGATGGTTACTCAATTCCAAACTCGTTTCATTGTCATCCTGAATGTAAATTAGATTGTATATTACTTTTAAGGTTTAGTTATTTTGCCTTTTACCTGTGTAACTTTTATGAGTAAATTAGTCTTAAATTTTCTCAAAAAGCGGTGTATTTGAATCAAAAAAATTAAACAAAAATTTGAATATTTGTGATAGGAAATATCGTATAAAAAATGTTTGAATTGTTGTTCAAAATGAATTAAAGTCTAATTCATCTAAAAAGAAAACAAATATCTTTTAAAGTGTATCAATTTCAATTTTTACCTTTTACTATTTATTAATATTTTTTAATCAAATAACTATATTAGTCAAAAAGATATTAATTAAAAATAAATAATAAAAATCTAATCCCAAACACTTTAAGAATAAGTAGAGCTCTTTATAAGAACACCCTAAGTTTTAAACTTGGATTGACTAATGTCAAGGGACAAACATTTGTAGAAATTGCCACAACTATGTTATCACATTTTATTTACAATGTCAAATACACCTTCTGACACCAGCCGCGATACCAGTATCCAGTCCAGATACCGACTAGTATTCGGCCGCAATACCGGTATCTGACTGAGATATCCACCAGTAACCATCAATTTTTGCGGCTGTCCAACCATCATAGTGGCCGAAGTACTTCAAATTCACGTAAAAACACAAAAATCCCTCTACCGTCAAACATGTAGCCCACATGGATATTAATCGATATCTTGGCCGGTATCCACTAGAAAACCTCCATCTTGGCGGTGCAGCAGGCGACGTTGCCGCCGGAATATTAAAAAAAAAAACCACCGAATCACAAAGAATACACAAAAAAGTACAAAAAAGAACTTCATAGAAACTAAAAATAATTAAAAAAAATCAAAGAAAAGTCAATCATCGATCAGCACAAAGATTTCTCTGTTTCCGGAGAACGGCGACGAGAGATCTCCTTCGTGCGATCGCGACTAGAGCGTGCAGATTCAGAGATCTCCCTCCCAGAGAATCTAGAGCGTGGTTGTGGTTGCAGATTCAGAGGTACAGTGTTGTAAAATCTCATCCACTGTGGCGAAAGGAGGACGCAACGATCTCCTCGACTCGTGCAAACAAATCTTGATTCGCGATGCTCAACCGAAGAGCTCCGACCACGGGCGACGTGGAGCATCTTTGTCCACGAAGAAAATGAAGGTGGCGGGCAGGGTTAATGCGGCGGTTGGAGAAGAGAGGGGAAGAGAGAAAGAAATGGAAGGTATGAGGAGAGAGAGAGAGAAGAGGACAGCTGGATGAAGAGAGGAGGAGAGAGAAAGGACATGAAGGTAGGAGGAGAGAGAGAATACGGCGGCCGGAGAAAGAGAAAAGGGGAGAGGAAAAAAAAGAAAAACCTGCCCCTAATTAGATCGAGGGTATTTTAGTCTTCTTAATGAAATATAAGCCGAATGTTTAAAGAGTTAGCCTTAGTAAAATTCAATCCACACTTAAAAGTCACGACACATTTCTCATATATCTCTAATAAGTTCAACAATTTCTTGAAAAGAAATTATATTTGCACCCATTAAATTCATGAATACCCCCACTAAATTATCATATTTAATGTTACAATTTAAACTTTTAGTAAAATTACAATAAAACCATAATAAGAATACACCCATTTTATTTTTAGAGGAGAAAACACCCACATTGCGTATATGTTTCTAATAAAACTACATCGATTTAAAAAAAAAAAAATCATAACCCCACGTTTAAGAATCAATAAGGGAAATATTAATGTTCAAAGAATCAATAACGGAAATATTAATGTTCAAAGAATCAATAACGGAAATATTAATGTTCAAAGCTCGTGTATTTGTTTGTTTTTTTTGTTTTTTTGTTTTCAAAGCTCATTTGTTGTCCTATGCTTGTATGACATAACTTGGCAAACGGAGTTTTTTTTTTTTTTTTTTTATTGTTTTAGAACGAGAAAGCTTTTATTATTGTAAAGATTGATTAATTATTTTTTATTCCTCTTAAAATTTTTTTTACTGTTTTATAAAACAAGATAAAATTAAAATGAAAGCCTCGGGTGGGGTGAGGGTAAGGGGTGTATATGAGGGTTAAATTTGGGAATCATATAAGAAGTATCTATAAAAGGATAATTAATTGGGGTGTGTTTATAAATTCTAGGATTATTATCACTAAGATTCTTGAATTTTAAGATCATTTCTAATTTGTCTTTTAAACTCTAAAAATTCTTACTTTACTCCATTAACTTTAAATTGTTTTCACTGAACTCTTTTTGTAGTAATTTCTATTAAAATAAATAGAAAAAAGAGAATAACGCAATCACACGGTCTTTTTATTTAAATTTATGTTAAAAAAATAGATAAAAATTACATGATCACATTTAATCTTTTCTTTTTCTATTTGATTTTAATAAAAATTATAATAAAAAAAATTCAATAAGAATAATTTAAAATTTAAAAAATAAAATAAAATTTTTTAAAATTTAGGAGGCAAATTAGAAATCGGTGAGAATTCTATGGGTGCCGATATGACCACTCTTTCCTCAATTCGACCTACATCCCGAACTGATTTGGGCCGAGCAGAGGAGCTCTTTTTCGGCCCATTCTAATGTCCACCCAAGAACGATTATCCACCCCACCAAAACGTCCAAAACCCTCAAAAAACCCTCCGAGACCCAGTGCCAAATTCGGCGATACTTGAACCGATTGCAGAGAAAAAAAGCTTTCCAGCTACGCTCCAATGGCGGCTAAGGATCAACAGAAGAGCAAACCCATGAAGAGAAAGCAAATTTCCAGCGCTAAACCCGAGTCTGGTAACTCCATTTCCAAAAAACCAAAGTTCGTCGCGGATTCGAAGAAGCCCTCGAATGATCTGAAACATGTCGCGAAGAAACCTTTCAAGGGTCCCAAAGACTCCCAATCGGGACATGGAAATGAGAAGAAAGGTCCCATGTCGACGCGAGAACGTCGGCTCCACGCCAAGGTTGGCTTTTTTTTTTTTTTTGCATTCGTTTTTTGTTCTAATTTGTTCTGATAGAATTCAATGAAGTAAATATTGATTTTTTGCTTCATTTTTTTTGGGTATTGTGTTTCTTTTTAATAAATTATTGACAAGATTTGTGCTTTTTTATGGTAGGAACTTGCCGAGGCCAGGAAGAAGAAGAGGAAGCGTCATTACACTTTAGAACAAGTATTTTTTTTTTGGGGTCTCAAATAAAATACTTTTTGGCCTCCTTTTTGGCATTAGAAGTAATATGCAGTTTTTAGATTCAGTATTGTCATAATGTGGTTATCAAATTATTGGTAGATGAACCTGAACTCTGTGGTATAACAATCTTTCTGTGTCTATTATATTGTTTAGCATGTTCGAAAATGATTAAATTTGATTAAAATCCATTAAAGAAACTCAAATTGGGAGCTTATAGTAGCTGCATTCTGTAGGCTAAATTATGTTTTTACTTTTTCCCACTATTTATCTCATAGGATCTTGCACATCTATGGGAAAAGATGAGGCGTCGCAACATTGCGAAAGAAGACAGAGCCAAGTAAGTATGTTGTATAACAGTTATCGAGTTGAAATCATATTTTAGTAGCCATAAAAAATGGCGGGTTTTTTTTTCTTTTAAACGTTTCATATAGTCTATGTTTCGTTTCATATAGTCTATGTTCCTGATTGTTGTTTATCAGTAGTTAATATTCTTTAATTAATTGTTGTTAGGTTGGTGAGTGAAGCACTAGAAAAGATGAAGGGAAAGATTTCTGAAATCGCTAGCTCCCATGTTTCTTCTCGTGTTCTACAGGTGAAGATTTTCGGTGTCTCTCTATATTACTGCTGCTTTTGGTAGCTTGGATATGATGTCACTTATATTTCCTTCTCTCAGACTTGTGTGAAATACTGTTCTCAAGCTGAAAAGGATTCCGTATTCGAGGAGCTTCAGCCGCATATTCTCACCCTTGCAACTAACACGTATGCAGTTCATCTGGTTAAGAAAATATTAGACAGTGGTATGACTCCGATTAGACACATGAGTAACTGAACTTTATAGCCCTGTGAGGTTGTACTATCTTGAATGATTGTTTTGAGTAGCCATATATGCTCCATTTGCAGCTTCTAGAAAACAGCTTTCAGCATGTATTTCATCTTTCCATGGACATGTTGCTTCTCTTCTTCGTCACATGGTTGGATCTGTGGGTATGTTAGAAGCTTCACAAAAGATGACTGCAAGTCACTTTTACATTCATTATCCCTTTCTATTTTGGTTTGAGGTGTGCTAACATGTTAGAAGTTTCTGAAGGTCTTTTATCTTCTTCCTTTTCACAGTCATTGAGCATGCATATCAATTGGGAAATGCAACTCAAAAGCAGGAGCTTTTGATGGAATTGTATTCTAAAGAGCTACAGATATTTAAAGACCTCGTCTCAACGAAAGAGAGCAGGTAAAAAAGATTAGTCATCATTACAATTTTCTTCTGGAAATAATGCTGCTGCATTCTTTCTGCCCTTCCGTCACTTGCAGTAAATTTTACGGAGACATTATTCGATATTTATTACTCCAGTTTCATAATTTGTGACCATATTTCAGGTTAATAGACATAATTTCAAAGTTAAATCTTCAGAAAAACTCAGTCATACGCCACATGACATCGGTGATCCAGCCGATTTTGGAGAAAGGAATTGTTGACCACTCCATCATACACAGGTTGTTGATGGAGTTCTTTAGTATAGCTGACAAGGTGTGTTTCAGAGTTGCATTACAGCCATTACTTTAAATACAGTACGTGTAATGGGATTCTCTGATTTACATTTTCCTTTTATTCTTTCCTGAATAAAATTTGTTGAAAGTCCTCTGCAACAGAAGTAATCCAGCAATTGTCTAGTCCGCTTCTTGTTAGAATGATCCACACTAAAGATGGATCTAGGATCGGGATGCTCTGTGTCAAGCATGGGAGCGCAAAGGTAGGCTGCATATTCTCTTAATTTGCGAGGATATTTTTTGGAAAAAAAAAGAAAGTAATTTTAATTCTGTAATATATTTTTATAATTTATGTTTTGAATATCCTTAACGCTGGTGGTTTTTCTTTTGAAAATTTATTTTAGGAAAGAAAGAAGCTATTAAAAGGAATGAAAGGGTTCATCAAAAAAATAGCTCATGATCAGTATGGAAGTTTGGTAAGACATATCCACTTTATAGTATATGCATCAGCCAATAATATACACTTTCTGTTTCCTTTTAGTATGTCTTTTGAGCATCTACTGTTGAATTTATGATAATTAAGAAGAAAATAAAAGAAGCTGAAAAGGACAACATCGTTTGTTTTGTTTGAGCTAACACAAGTAGAACTGTTAATCTAAACTAAATAGGCCAGCAGCATTGTCTATGTTCCTTTTTTGTTTTATTACGCCCACCTTTGAGTTTGAAAGGGCTTTCCGAGAAACAAAAAAAAAAACTCTTAATTTGTTGTGACATAACCTGCATAATGGTATTCTTATCATAAGCTTCATTATGTACTATTTTCTTCGCAGGTGCTAGTCTGCATACTTTCAATTGTTGATGACACAAAGCTTGTAACGAAGGTTTGAATCTTTGCGATGTCTATTGTCGACGGTGTTTTTGTTAGTATGTATAGTCACCTCTCTTGATTCTTCTACCTCGTGTTACCTTGATTGCAGATTGTCATTCAGGAAGTTCAAGAAAATTTAGAGGATCTTGTTCTCGATAAGGTTTGTATTCTTCCTATAACTTGATGTTGCATAGTAAATCCATTCAAAAGAAAATATTTTTTAACCATGTCATTACTCACTGGGTGGTAGGCTCAACGTTTATTTGGATTATGTATTTGTATTTACCCGAATTTTATGGCAATTTTTTTAACTTAGTCCTCCTAGTTCTTTTTGAATATTCACTTCTCAACCCTTTGCAATCTTCAGAATGGAAGACGTTTGTTACTGCACCTACTTCATCCAAATTGCTCACGCTATTTCAGTCCTGATGATTTGGCTTCTTTTGATTTGTCGATACCTTCTCTTTCCTCCAAGGTAATTTGGAAATTATTTCTTGTTTTCCTTGTGCCAATGACTCAGCTGTGCTTGAAACTTGCTGTACATTCATGCTTTTAGGTGGAATCAAATGATCATTCTGAAAGGAAAGCTTTTCAGGTTAATGGAGCTAGCGAGGAGGTTAAGCCTAATAATGACATGGAGGTGACGGAAGCAGAGGCCGAGAGAAGTGCCGATCCTGGCGAGACAGTTCCTGTGGTTGAGGGTGGAAAGAAGGATCCTTCCATAAGAAGGCAAGAGTTATTAGTCAAGAGTGGATTGGCTGAGGTTTGTTGCTTTGGCATTATGAACACTTTTTTTTTAATATATATATTTTTAGAACAGTTTTCAGTGTAACTTTTTGTACCTTGTTACTGCCATTTCTTCGATAACCTTACTATCCTATTTTAGACTTTGGTTTTATAAAACCCTTTTTATGTGGTTGACCTACATCTTGGTATGCCTTGCAGAGGCTTGTTGGTGTGTGCGTTGAGAACGCGGGAAAATTACTTCGATCAAATTTTGGTAAAGAAGTGATATACAAGGTAACAGCCATCCGCCCCCTCCTACTGCAGATAATATTCAATTTGGTGGACTTGTATTTTTGAAGTTCCCTGGAACCATCAAATTCGTAGACAGTTAGCACTTTCTGGTGCATGCAGGTCGCAACTGGCGGTGCTGATGGCATTCTTAACTCAACTATGGAAGATAAGTTGGACACATTGCATAAAGCCATAGCGTCTCTTGTCGCAGAGCCTAAATCTGAAGAATCAGAAGAAGAGCGTGTCCTTGAAAATTTTCATTCTAGTCGGACCATTCGAAAGCTGATCCTGGATAGTCCCACTTTTGCTTCCACACTATGGAATACAGCACTGAAGGGAAAGTGTGAAACGTGGGCCATGGGTCATAGGTTCGCCTACATTATCTTCTTAGTTCCCAATTTAAAGTATTGTACACCCAAGCCAAGCTAGTATGCATATATTCTACAGAACTAAGATGTTTTTGTTCTGTTATTGCAGTTCTAAGGTGATTTCTGCGTACTTAGAATCCTCGGACTCTAAAGTGCAGGATCTGGCAAAAAAAGAGCTGCAGCGCTTGATAGATCGCGGCATACTCAAAATCCCCGAGAAGCAGTCAACCGCTGAAGGTTAAGTCCGTCGCAATGATGATTGGAGGAGAGTGCTTCACCAGTTATTTCTACAGATATCGCTGGTTGATTCGATATTGTATTGAACCATTGTCAAGAAAGAGACTTCGAAATTTGTTGTGACCGCAAATGTGTTCCTCGGGCAGAATTTTTTCATCTTAATCGGTATTGAGGCAACATGAAATTTTGTTATATGAGTAGCCTGTGACTGTTGAATGGATATGCCGACTCGAATGTGGGTTTGTAGTCTGAAGTTATAAATTTTGTTTGTTACCTACACAAATTCTGTATATTAAACATGAGTTTGGAGCTACAAAATTTTGAAGTTTTATTATGTTTTCTTCCTAATGTAGTATTTTTTGTCTAACGCTGACTGATTGGCAATGAACACGTTAATGCAAAGTAGAACATCAAAGAAACATCTGAACAAACAAAATCACTGTTTTATTTTCTTTTTCTCCCCTTAATAAATCTATACTTCCTTGAAAGTTATGAATGGACACAGGCAGATTTGCTCTTGAAAATTCCCCTATCTGATCTAACCTCAAAAATGGGGGTATCACACTTCCCTCTTGCCTCACAATTCAAAATATTCCCCGTTTGCAGGAACCAAAGATTGTCTGGTTTCTTGTAAACTCTGTTCCTGACATGTGGATATCCTTCAAATTTATAATCAGAGGGATTGAATATTGGAGACTCCTTGTGACTAGCTGCTCTCTGAGAGTTGCTCCTGAAAATGCAATCCGGCGGAGGAAAGAGGGAGGACTCTCTCTCTTTCCTCGAGGCAGCAGCATTGGCTCTCAAGCAATTCTCGATCACTCTAGTCTCCTCTCTGAATCTGTCTCTTATGTCTTTCAAACCTCTAAGAATCCTGTGAGATTTCGACCTAGTCGGGGCGGCACTCCACGCCTTGTGCTTCGGAGTGTTGGAATTCGTGGGGTTGGCGATGCACTCGAAGCAGAAATTCCTCCATCTCTCCAAGTCAAAGGCTTTCCTTTGTGCACTGTCTGAGAGACATGCATATGCCTACAAAAATTGCAAGTTGTTGAAACGTGAAAATCAAACAGCATATTAGGATTGATGAGCCAGTACTTGGCCATTTTTGCAATGAATGTTGTGACCCTCCAAAAGGGTATCCTCCCTCATTGGTTTAAAAAAAAAAAAAAAAAAAAAAAAAAAAAAAAATTAAAAGGGGTGGGGACATTGTTCAAAAAAAAAAAAAAAAAAAAAACAAGAAAGTTATAAGAGTGTTGGAACTTGTATCAAAAGAAAGCCAAAGAAATGAATACAATCACACCTAACATGAGAAATGCTTAATTTGTTGTTCTAAATATGTGGGTCTGTTGATGAAAATGCTTTTGTCAAATTAAATGGGTCTGGTTTCTCTTTATGGTACTGGTCCACTATTATTATGTGCAATTTTTCATTGCCTTTATGGTGAAGTCACGTGGGACTCCCGCTAGCTTCAACTCCTATACTCTTCTTTTATCAAGTTCTCATGCTTAGGCATAATGTGACAATACAAACAAACTTAACACGATTAAAAAAAAATAAAAAATAAAAAAAAAATTGGTTTGGGGTTTTGAATGTGCTCAAAATTAAAGTAAAAGAAATAATTTGGAATTGTGATTCTAAACAAATCAATTAATAGTCTTCTCTTGGCCATTTTCAACTTCTAAAAGAGGAAAGTAAATGAATCACTTAAAAAATTATAAAAAAGTAGAGCAATCAATCATTTCTAGGAAATTTATAAATATATTACTCCCTGCATTATCTAAACAAATCTTTTTTTTTTTTAGGGAAATTATCTGAACAAATCAATTAGTCTTTTCATGGCCATTTTCAACTTCTAAAAGAGGAAAGTAAATAAATCAATTAAAAAATAATAAAAAGTAGAGCAATCAATCATTTCTAGAAAATTTATAGATATATTACTCCCTGCATTATCTAAACAAATCTTTTTTTTTTTTAGGGAAATTATCTGAACAAATCAATTCTTTTCTTGGCCATTTTCAACTTCTAAACGAGGAAAGTAAATAAATCAATTAAAAAATAACAAAAAGTAGAGCAACACGTCATTTATAGGAAATTTATGAATATTTTACTCCCTGCATTATCTTTTTTTTTTTTGTTTTTTTGGACTGAATGCCTCTAAAGTTAAATTCCCTACAATATCGAACGGATAGAGAATGTATAATTCTAATTACCTCGGAAACAAGCTTGAAAGCAATTTCAGCCTTGGGATGCTTGTTCTTGTCTGGATGAAGTTGTAAAGCTGAACAAATAAACATGCCTCATCAAATATGGAAATTTAAAAAAAAAAAAAAAAAAAAAAAAAAAAAAAAAAACCCCACAATGAAAATATGTAAATGCCAATATTCCATATTATAAGCCAAACATACCAAGTTTATGGTATCGCTTTCTAATAACATCAATTCCGGCTTCTTCACCCACCTATAGATTCTCGTTAAAAATCATGTTTTTAAAAGAAATAAAACCATGTAAACAAAAATGGCTTAAAAACAAAAGATGAGATATAAACAAAAGAAGGCTTTAAAGAAATTAAACATACTCCGAGAAGAAGATACCAATCAATGAAAGTTGGAGACGATTTTGGTCGGTTGAAAAGATGCCTATGAACACAAGCATTTGAGCGGCTTGAAATGGAGCAAATTTGTGCCACCAACTGGGATTTGATATCAGATTCTTGTCCCATTTTCCCCATTTTATAAAACAAGCCAAGAGAAAAAAAAAATGGAGAAAATGGGAGAAGAAGATGGGGAAAAAAGAAAAATGGATATGCGAAATGGGGGTCTCAAAGATAACGCGTGGTTTTTCTGTTGTGCATGGTGAGTTTTTTTCTTTTCTTCTCTAATAAACTCTCTTGCCTTTCCTTTGGTTTTTATTTTGGGAGAGAGAAAAGAGGAGGAGAGAGAAAGATGAGGAGTGAAAAAAAAGGCGGAGCGGTTAAGAAATAAGGGCAAGGTTTGCGGGAGAGATATTTGAAAGTGGATCAGTTGGTGGGAAGTAGAGCTTTGTGAAGATACCACCGTTGATCTTGCCACGTGGGATGATGTGAGAGGGTCTACGAACCATCCCAGCCTCACGTTTTGTTTTGGTTTGTTTATATTAGGGAAAATTATGATTTTTTAATATGTAGTTATAGTGATTTGAATTTATCAGTATCGATTTTCATATATTAGCAAATTTCTTTATTAGACTTTCAGGCGCACTATTTCAAAAATTAATGCCCTGATTTTAACGGATTGAAAAGGAAAAGTATTATACTGGAAATATTATAAAATATTTTTAATATCTTAACGGATTTAGTACTCAAGTAATTTACTTTATAAATAATAAAAGAAATACTTTTTATAATTTGTGTTTGTTTTTTTTATATGATAGATATGACTATAAATAACTAGCAAGGCATAAATTGAAGAACGTGACAAAAAATACACTGAAACTCTCTCAATTTTTATTCTCTTCTAATATTCTATAGGTTAATGAGTTATGGATTTATCGTGATTGTTTGGGTTTTACCTAATAATCACGCACATCTTGAGCAATTAAGGACGTGGTGATGATAGTGATCGTGGTGAATCGTGACTTGAAGCTTGAAGATCATGTTCACAAAAAATAATGAAAAAATAATAATAATAATAATAATAATAAGAATGAGACTAGATCCATCCAGTACAAAAACATAAACTTACAAGTTTTATAGGTTGCCTTTTAACATAGAATCTAAACCCTTAAAACTCCCACGACTACAAGTTTGAATTAATCCATGAGGTTCAAAATAAAACAAACAAATAATCTCAATTCTCAATCAGATTTTTGATGGGGTTGTGCTAACTTTTTCTTGTGGGGTCTCTCCCTCCCTTAATTTCAAGGAACCAATTATTGTTAACCACCACCTATTCCAAAAGACTCCCTTCCTACTTAAAAGAAAACTAGATACCTATAGGCCAAAAAAAAAAAAAAAAAAAAAAAAAAAAAAAAAAAAGAAACGTAGATGCCATTTAATGGGTGAAAAGGTGTGAGCCCTGTTCACTTCGCTGATTCGAGTTTTTCTACAGTAAAAAGTTCTCACAAACAATCACATTTAATTTTTTTACTACAGTAAAAAGCTCTCACATAAAGTCACATCTCAAGTCGAATTCTAAACTCAAATCAGCGAAGTGAATGAGACCTAAAGGAAAAGTGCATTCTTTTCATCAGCCTAATTAAAATTTGTTCTAACTGCAAATAAATGATTAAATGACTCCTTGAGGCGTTTCCAAGTTTTAGGTTCAAAAATTAAGAGCGAACCAAATTTTAAAATAAGAAGAATTCATTTGTAAGAGTTTTGTATATTTTTCACTCTTAACATACCCTTTAAAAAATTAAATGCGGTGAAAATTGAATTCTTATGATTCTTTAAAAAAAAAAAAAAAAAAAAAAAACAAGAGATAAATGATTCCTTTTCAACTGGGTTGGGAATAAGTTTGCCTAAACTGGGCCAATCAAGATGGCTTAAAAATAGAGCAGAAACCCAACAAACCTTTGTCCGATTCAGCTAACACTATAATGGGATTGTAACAAGGCTTTTCAATGAAGTTAATGGGTACAAAAAGTGCTGCCACGGAGGGGTCAGGGGCTTAAAAAGAGAGGGTGCAGAAACAAAACTTGAGGACTGATAAGTGAAAATGTAAATTTCATTAGGTATCAATATCGAATCCAAAGAAAAACTACACGTGAAGATCTGAAAATTAGAATGTGACCCTACTTTTCATATAATACCCAGTTGAAATCCAGGCATCAATAAGCAGGCATGACTCTCTCTCTCTCTCTCTCTCTCTCTCTCTCTATATATATATATATATATATATAGGTAAGGTCTTTAGTTAGACACTTAAAAAATGTCTGATCGAAACGACAGTTGTATAATTCTGTATAAATTGTGTATATTTACATGTAAATCATGTATTTTTACATATAAAGTCGTGTATATTACATGTAAAGATGTATATGTTAAGTTATAAGAAACGACAATGTATATTAATCCTCAAAATATGTATTTTTTATAGCAATTAGTGAACACATAACATGAAAATATGTATATTGACTTATTTGTTGTATTTTATGTTAAATATACACGACTTTACATGTAAATATACACGATATTAAGGACTCTACCCTGGCCAATGGGTCCTCTTTCTTTCTTTTTTTTTTTTCTCTTTAATTAGTCCTTTGGTAGGGTTAAGAAAAAAGTGTCCTACTGCATAGCCTTTTTTTTTTTTAATATTTGTAGGGATTTAAATTTTATGGTAAAGTCTTAAGTTCACCACTCATACAGTACAGTACGGTAAATAGAACTTTTTTTTTGTTTGTATGTGTAATTTTTTTGTATACATGCGTAACACTAATGTTATATACATTTGCTGGATTACACAGAAAAATTGATTGTTATACATGTGTAAGAATGATGTTATATAGGCACACGAAATAAATTGTATGTGCCTGACTGATCTGAGTGTCGAACTTAACAATTCTTAAATTTTATAACTTGAATCGGAGATTAGCATAGATTTATTGTTAAGTTAAGTTTACAATCACGAAATATGTGTAGCATTGAACCGCTTAAAATGTGATTTGACATTTAAAAATGTGTATGGCCAATGAGAAATAGCAATTTACTATAGATGTTCTTTTTAGGTAAAGTGGGTAGGATTAAGTAGATTTGTTGGCATTGGATTTACAGGTTTATGATTGACATATGATAGGGACCTGCAAAATTTTTAAAGTCATTGTCCAAGAAAAAAGTTGGTTACTTTACCAAATGTTTACTGCTCCCTCTTAAATCATTGCAAGTTGATTAATATAAACTTCTAGCAAACAGAAAAATAAAAAGTTCATGATTAATGATTTTTTTTATTTTTCATAACAAAGTTGATAATTTATAATTAATCTCTCTATCAGCGCCTCACTATTTGACATTAGCATGTGGCTGATCGCATAGGCATTGTATTGAGATTGGCTAGGATAATTTTAGGCTTTAATTATTTCACCGATTCGAGTTTATAATTCGAGTTTTGCTACAGTAAAAATCTCTCAGAAACAGTCACATCTTACTTTTTTGTTACAGTAAAAAGCTCTCACATAAAAGTACATATTAACTCAAATTAAAAACTCGAATCATCGAACTAAACGGGTCCTTAGTATTCAATATTTATCTTCTATCTCGAGGAGAATTAGTATAAAAAAAATATATTTTTTGCTGAAATAAAAAATACTTTATTTGTATAACACAAGTTTGAGCTGAGATAAATTTTCATATTGTTTTTGTTTTTTTTTTTTATAATGATTCTAACGTAATTTGACAATAAAAAATAGTATCGTAGCAATATGGTATTTTTTTTTTCTATTATACCTACAAAATTAAGCATAATATGTCTTTGTGTCTAAATGAATGTTTGAACTTGAATTTTTGTTACTTTAATGTGGACTATGATATCTTATAAGCGTCTCTAGTCTATCTTGAGAACTCTCGTTATTGCAGTTTTTATCCTTAAGCACTCATAATTTTCTGCAATTTCTTAAACTATAGAAATTATTTCAGTAGTTTGTGTTTGTGAAAGTTGCAAAATTATAAAGAAGCCTATAAATCTATCTTTTGTTACCTTGTAGGGACAAATTCCGATGAGTTTGCCGAAATTGCATTTTATAATAATGCTCAAATACCGAAAGCCTAAAGCAGATAGGTCAATTTTGTTGGGTTCTTGGATTTCAGAACACCATGCAAAGAATTCGCGGAATCTGTGGCTCGTTCGCATTCAAAAGTCTATAAGAATGATATTCTGACGAAAAAAAAAAAAAAATTAATTATAAGATTACCTTCAAAACTATAATCATAAAATTAAAATGTTAAATGATTATTAATATGCAGCTTGTTATGTTATTGAGTTCTGCCGTTTCCTTAATTACGGGGTTTTAAACTACATATGCGTTTTTACAGAACGACATTTCGTTTCAATTCAATGTTGTTCTCTGTGAAAAATTAAAATGTCGTTTACGACAAAAATTGACAGGCCGTTTATGTTCATTGTTGTTTTTAGACAAATAAAAACGACATGTCCTTTTATGGTGAAAGCAAACAACATCAAATACCATACCACATGTCGTCAACAAGTCATTCTCTGAAACAAGCAAACTCATAATGCCATAACTTTTTTTTAAAAATTTTTTTTATGAGACATCTGGTTTTTTTTTGTGAATTACAGTGAAATGACAATCGCTTCTCTTGAAGGAAACGACATTCTATACCATACCACATGTGGTTTTTGAAACATACCTTCATCTTTTTTTTTTTAATTGGAATGAACGACACGTCTTTTGCTCCAAGCAAAAACGACACTCTTTTTCACATTAAAGTAGAACATGGTTACTTTTTTTTTTTGGGTTGAAAGTAGTACAAAAGGTTAAAATTAAAATTGACTCAATAGTTTTTGTGGGCTTTAGTTTTATTTACAAATGCAAATAAATGTCCTTTTAAAAAAAATAATAATAAAGGAAAGAAAGAGAGTAACTGAGCGTCTGCCTAGCTACTAGCAGTGAGCTGAGAACTTTTGTCAAGACTCCAATTTAGAAGCTAAAAAAAGGGGGGTGGGGTGGGAATACGACCAATTTGTCCATATCATTGGCCAAATCTCAAACATAAATTAAGCTGTTTGAGCATGACATTTAAGCTGTTTGAGTATGACATTTATCTCTATGCCAGTTTTACACTGACTTTTTTTTTTTTTTTTTTTTTTTTTTTTTTTTTTTTTTTTTTTTTGCTCTGAGTTTACA